TCCCTCTCCTCTCCCCTCCCCCCTCCTCTCCTCTCCTCTCCTCTCCTTTCCTTTCTTTTCCTTTCCTTTCCTTCTCTCAGGCAGAATGTGTACTAGGAATTCAACTAAGCAATTTCAGTTTAGATTCACTTGGGAGCATTTTCTAATATTTTGGATGAAATGAATGAGAAATAAGTTTTTCCACTACATCTAGGTATTTAATATTTTCTTTAAGTTTGATATAGTCGAAATCTGAGCCTTTCTTATTAAGGCTATTCTTCCTTGTCTACTCCTTCTACCTACCCAACTGTCCTTTTCTATCTCCTTTCCCTCATTCCTTCCTAGGAAACTCAGCCTGGGGTTCAAAATGTGGTATCTGTGGATGAGGGTGAAATGATATTCAAGAAGAACACCAGAAAAATCCTCAGGCCTACAGGTAGCTGGTTTCCCTTCATGGCCTTTTGGGACTGAAGTTCTAAGTACACTTGATGGGTTTTTGGTATGGAGAACAGGTCTCTCTTGACCTAAGTTTTTGATCTTCCACTCAGAGTACACTAAATCTGTGATAGATCTTCGCCCAGAAGATGTGGGGCACGAAGGTGGCTCCTTGGGAGACAGAAGCAAATCTGTCCCGGGCCTCAGTGTGGATATGGTAAGTGCCCTTGTGTTCCACTTGGTCACTGAACGAAGTTTTATTTACCAAGAGTTGGCTTTGGTACCAGCTATTACTTCTTTACGAAAAGACAACGTGAATCTTATTTTCCTCAAAATTTCTGTGGTAAATGTGGTTCTTGATTTGCTTAAACAAAAGACTGATTTGATTCTCTCTCTCTCTCTTTGATTTTTTCCATGGGGCATATGCTTTTGCCAGAGAGAGACAGAGAGATGGAAAGTAAGAAATCACTGCCCAGGGGGATGGCCATGCCACAATCTCTTCTCCTCCACTCTCCTGTCAGGATTTTGGGCACACATGCACATGGACTCAGCGTGTTGTTGTTGTTATAGGGCACGGGCATTTGCCAGAGAGATACGTAGAGAGAGAGAAAGAGAGATAAGGAAAGTGAGAAATCACCCACTAGGAGAGATGGCCACACTGCAATCCCTACTCCTTTATTTTCCCCTTGGGATTTTTGGGCACACACGCACACATGCCCAGCTTGTTTTCCAAGCTGCCAGATCCAGGTCTCAAATTACACACTTAGCCATGTGGTATCCAGCTGCCTTAAACTCTAGCTCGTTTTCCAAGCTGCCAGATCCAGGACTCAAACTACACACTTAGCCATTTGGGATCCAGCTGCCTTAAACTCTGTGTCACCTGGCTGGTCCCCCAGATTGATTTTCAAACCATCAAGTCCAGGACTTGTACCACGATTGGCCCTGTGGGAGTCCAGTGCCTTAACCACCATGACACCTGCTGGCTCCTTGGCTATCTCTTTTATCTTTTGGTACATTGCTGCAAATATGGTTAGAGGCTCAAATAAATACTTGTTTTGAATAAGTAAAAAGGCATGGCTGGGTTGGGGTGGTCCAAGGGGTAAGAGTTGTAGCTCCTATGAAAAACATTAGTCCTATTTTATTCTTTTGAGATATGAGGAAGATGACTGAAGTAGAGCTGGGGAGCCTGAAATTGGGAGACATATCAATAAGGACATGTGCATACACATAAAACATGGCTTCTCAGAGCCTTGCTATACTTATAGTTCCCACTAAAGGAAAGATATAAGTCTCTGAAGCATTTCTGATTTGTATTTACTCTGAATCTCTATCGTTCTAGGAAGAGGAGGAAGAAGAAGAAGATATTGACCATCTGGTGAAGTTGCATCGCCAGAAGCTAGCCAGAAGCAGCATGCAAAGTGGCTCCTCCATGGTAAGTTCTATTAATTCTGGGTAATAGATGTGTCGGGGTACCAGGAAGGAAAGAAAAGCCTCCCTCAAGCAGACTCATGAGTTGGAGAAACCATCCTAGTCTCTTTTACCAAGTAAGTGAGATGCATTTGTTTGTTCCTATCCTTGGTTTAGACTGTAGTGTGCATCTAGATGACTTCCTGAGCCTTTGCTCTGGAAGTTTTTACATTAAGGAATGAGGACTATGGTCATTCTTAAACAATAACTTCTCCACTTATGAGGTACCCCGGTTATGAAGTGAGCATAATCAGATCACTTTATCAGAGCCCACTCTAAATTCTCACATTAAAGGGAAGTGAGCGTCATGAGATAGGCTCTGGTAAGGTGAATTGGCATGAGGGTATGGTTAAAAATTGACTATACCAGTTAGGATTGGCATTTGCCAGAGAGATACGTAGAGAGAGAGAAAGAGAGATAAGGAAAGTGAGAAATCACCCACTAGGAGAGATGGCCACACTGCAATCCCTACTCCTTTATTTTCCCCTTGGGATTTTTGGGCACACACGCACACATGCCCAGCTTGTTTTCCAAGCTGCCAGATCCAGGTCTCAAATTACACACTTAGCCATGTGGTATCCAGCTGCCTTAAACTCTGTGTCACCTGGCTGGTCCCCCAGATTGATTTTCAAACCATCAAGTCCAGGACTTGTACCACGATTGGCCCTGTGGGAGTCCAGTGCCTTAACCACCATGACACCTGCTGGCTCCTTGGCTATCTCTTTTATCTTTTGGCTCCTTGGCTATCTCTTTTATCTTTTGGTACATTGCTGCAAATATGGTTAGAGGCTCAAATAAATACTTGTTTTGAATAAGTAAAAAGGCATGGCTGGGTTGGGGTGGTCCAAGGGGTAAGAGTTGTAGCTCCTATGAAAAACATTAGTCCTATTTTATTCTTTTGAGATATGAGGAAGATGACTGAAGTAGAGCTGGGGAGCCTGAAATTGGGAGACATATCAATAAGGACATGTGCATACACATAAAACATGGCTTCTCAGAGCCTTGCTATACTTATAGTTCCCACTAAAGGAAAGATATAAGTATCTGAAGCATTTCTGATTTGTATTTACTCTGAATCTCTATCGTTCTAGGAAGAGGAGGAAGAAGAAGAAGATATTGACCATCTGGTGAAGTTGCATCGCCAGAAGCTAGCCAGAAGCAGCATGCAAAGTGGCTCCTCCATGGTAAGTTCTATTAATTCTGGGTAATAGATGTGTCGGGGTACCAGGAAGGAAAGAAAAGCCTCCCTCAAGCAGACTCATGAGTTGGAGAAACCATCCTAGTCTCTTTTACCAAGTAAGTGAGATGCATTTGTTTGTTCCTATCCTTGGTTTAGACTGTAGTGTGCATCTAGATGACTTCCTGAGCCTTTGCTCTGGAAGTTTTTACATTAAGGAATGAGGACTATGGTCATTCTTAAACAATAACTTCTCCACTTATGAGGTACCCCGGTTATGAAGTGAGCATAATCAGATCACTTTATCAGAGCCCACTCTAAATTCTCACATTAAAGGGAAGTGAGCGTCATGAGATAGGCTCTGGTAAGGTGAATTGGCATGAGGGTATGGTTAAAAATTGACTATACCAGTTAGGATTATGAAGTTAAAGGGACTTTTAAGAATTAAGGGGAGAAAAAAAAGAATTAGGGCCTAGGTACCAGCAGATGGCCTAATGGCTACACCACTGGACTCCAACATAGTTGACTGTGGTTAGAGTCCTTGACCCCAGTGGCTTAAACTCATGCTGCGCATGTAATGTGTGGGTGTCCAAGATCCTGGAAGGAGAATGGAGGAGAGGGGATTGTGGCATGTCCATCCCCCTTGCAGAGTGATTTCTTGCTTTCTTTCTCTCCATCTCTCTCTCTCTGTCTCTTTGGTAAGTGCGCACAACCTATAGCAAAAATCTCTCTTAAAAGAAAAAAAGACTGAGGACCTAGAGGCCTGATGGTGGTACAGTGGTAAAATGCAATGCTTTGTGAGGCTTACCCAATGGGGAGGTTCCAGGTTATTATTTGAGGACGTCTCTGAGCACACTGGCCATGATCTTGGGCTGGTTCCACCTGGGGGTGGATCACAGTATCAGTACCTCATTGAGGGTGCTGTCTCTCACTCTCTGTCTCAGTTTCTCTTTCATAGAAGAAAGAAAAAAAATCTCAGGAAAAAAAAGAGCTGAGTTGTGTCAAGTATGAAGATGTTTAAAAGACACAGTTGGAACAAGTGTGATTAGAGTTTGTGCACCCACACACACCAGAAGACAATTGTGGCTCTCACTACTGATTATAACCAGAGAGGAAGGTGCTTTTCACTTTGCGTGGTGTTTCCTCCTCAGCCTCATCCCCACTTCTGCCCTGCCCCCTTTTCTTTATAGGTTTTGGTAGAGATTTTTAAAAATCCACAAATAATTAAGGCACCTTGTGTTTTGTTTGTCTGTGTGATTGTTTTTGAGAGATTTTTGTGATAGTGTGTATACACTCACCAGAGAGACAGACAGAAAGTGAGAAGTCACCCTGCAGGCGGAATGGCCACACTATAATCTCTTCTCCATTCTCCTCCCAGCTCCCAGGATGTTAGGCACACACACACACACACACACACACACACACACACACACGGTGTGAGGTTTAAGCCACCATGTCTGAAACTTGAACTGTAGTTTTCTATGTGGTAGTCCAGCAACCTAACTATTATGCCATCTGCTGTTCCCAAGGCACCGTGTTTTAATGAGTAACTAATCCCTTCTAGTCACTGTGTTAGCGTATATATAGCACCAAATGGACTTGGTTGCACCTTACTTCTACTCTCTGCCCATCTTCTGTTCTGGGGCAGGTGAAAATTAACAATAAAATGTACAAAGAAGAGGAAAAGAAAGGAAGCTAATAACTTGGGTGATTCTAGAGCTGATTGGTTAACCTGAACAGTTGTGAGTGTGCTGCTAGCTCTGTCTTATCCTGTGGATAAATGACTGTCGGCAGTACTGACTTGTTGCACCACAGACTTCTGAGATTTTTATTTTGCCCAGTGACCATAGTTTTATTGTGACAGAAGATGTGAGCAGTGTGGATGGGGGAACGTGCCGTCTCCATAGGTTTGTGCTTTCTCTTCAGAGTACAATTGGCAGCATGATGAGCATCTATAGTGAAGCTGGTGACTTTGGGAACATCTTTGTGACGGGCAAGATTGCCTTTTCCATAAAGTATGAGCAGCAAACACAGACTCTGGTGGTCCATGTGAAGGAGTGCCACCAGCTGGCCTATGCTGATGAAGCTAAGAAGCGCTCTAACCCGTGAGTGCATCTGAAAACTGACTGATATTGAGACAGGAGACCAGACCCGGGTATCTATCTGGGCACTTTTAAACCGACCTTACTACTTCCTGGGGTGAGAGGTGGGGAGTCAGGGAGGTATGATATAGAAAAGGAGCCAGGACTGGGAGAAAGGGGCCTCCAGATGGGGCCTTAGGGGGTCATAAGAGGTCTTGATGAGACATTCTTTTGAGAGTTTTTTTTTCCTTCTTTTTTTTTTTTTTTTCTTGCTATAGGGCACGTGTACTCGCAAGATAGATAGAAAGCGAGAAGTCACTCCCTAGGGAGGGATGGCCACACTGCAACTCCTTCTCCTCCAGCCTCTTCTTGGGATTTTGGGCTTGCACTCACCCACTCCCAGCATGAGTTTTAAGCTGCCAGGTCCAGGCCTCGAACCACGGTCGACTATGTGGGAGTCCAGTGATGTAACCCCTATACCATCTGCTGGTCCCTGATGAGATATTTTTGACATTGCATTTTGTCATGACATATTTAAGTGAGGAACAGGCTTGAGAAAGAAACATGAATTACTCAGTACTCTCTTTGGTTTCTAGATATGTGAAGACTTATCTTCTGCCTGACAAATCCCGCCAAGGTAAAAGAAAAACCAGCATCAAGCGTGACACCATCAATCCCGTGTATGATGAGATCCTCAGGGTAAGTGTCTAAACTCTGAAGGTAGGAGAACTTATTCCATCTTGTGTCTTCAGTTGTAGCTATTCCTCTGCAACATGGCTGGTTGACTGGATTTCAATGGGCCACTTCTGTGTCTGAGGATACACTCTGGGCATCTGTTCACATCCTGACCTTTCAGAGACAAGAACGGTGTTAATGGGCCATTTCTGTGTCTGAGGATACACTCTGGGCATCCGTTCACATCCTGACCTTTCAGAGACAAGAACAGAAGTGATCTGGCTTTCTTGGATTATTGTGACAGTGGGGATTCACGTGGCCACAAATCT